GATGCCATTAAAGTCCATGTGCGTGTAAAGGCAGGCGGCCCAATACTTTTGGAAATATAGTGTATGTGCCCAAAATACTCAAATACTACACTTAGGCATGTACAACGTTTAGAAGCATGCAATTTGTCTAAGAACTCATTCACACAGGCATGTAAAGAACTCGGTCACACAGGCATCTAAAACATCCTGTTTAGATGTGTACAGCATATAGTTCTGTACACATCTAAATGCCATACTATGGGAATCAATGGGGCCATACACACAGCTGCATTGCCAAATGAAAATGCTCGCCATGTTTAGGACAGAGCTGCATCTTGGATTGTACATATCTGTAGATTTTATGTAGGTACACGTATAAACACACGTAAACCCATATATGCATAAGTGCTTAAAGTTGTGAGAAGAATGGTTAGGCTACATGCAAATGGGTGCACTGCAAATTTCTGGTGTCCTAGAATTGTGTACAGCCACCCAAAGACCAGAATGCTTAAGACGGCTCTATACAGCTACGTGTCGCTATCTGCGTAACATAGCACATGCGCACGGATGTAATGTGTTTGGTGCATTACGTCTGTACACATATGCTACTTTATGAAACAGCTGTAGACAGCAAGGTTTTTGGAAGTCCATTTACAAGTGCTGTTGGACCTCTTATAGTGTTGAGGTCTGAATTTATGCTAAGAATCCATGATACATTTTTGGTGGTGGAGGAAGTCTTTGTGGTGAAATCAGTTGTGAAGCACTTTGGATTACATATAAGTTTGGTATATATATATATATATATATATATATATATATTGTTTTTTTTATGACGTATGTTCATTCACTTGTTGATTCGGTTTAATGTGGAGCGCTATATATAGATGAACCTCCAGTTAAAGTGGTTGTAAACTTCAGACATAAAATATGAACAAAGCGTTTCCCTCTATAGTGTGTACTTATCTCAGTTAAGAACACAAAGGGGTTAATTTACTAAAGCTGGAGAGTGCAAAATCTGGTGCAGCTGTGCATGCGAGCCAATCAGCTTCTAATTTCAGCTTGTTCAATTAGACTTTGATAATAAAACCTAGAAGCTGATTGTTTCCTATGCAGAACAGCACCAGATTTTGCACTTTCCAGTTTTAGTAAATCTCCCCCCATGTCATTTCTGTCCACTGCTTCATTCCTCTGCTATCATCATGAACAGGGGTGTATTTGTCGCGAGGCCTACAAGGCGTTTGCCTAGGGCGGCACTTTTCAGGGGGGCGGCAGCACCACTCCCCCCATTTCCCAAGGGACACATAGGACAGGGGCTGCTGTATCTTACCTTGGATCATGATGTGGGTGGGATAACATGCCGCCCCTCTCATCTGGCCACACCCCCAGGATCACTGGGCAGCCTATGGCAGCCTGTCCCTCCCTATCCAAGCTTCTCGCCGGTGATTGGTCGCCGGACCTGTAGCTCAGGGAAAGCACACAGGCAGAGAGGAGGAGCAGTGCAAAGATCGAAGAAGCTGAGGGACCGGCTGGAGCTGATGAAGAAGAGGAGAGCGGCTGATCGGTAAGGTAAGTGTCTGTGCGGCCGGGATCTGGGCAGAGCAGATGGTGCTGCAGCAGCCAGGTATGCTGGCTATGGATGGGAGAGGGAGGGAGCCCGAGTTGGAGCAGGGGTCAGCAATGTAAGCATCATTGGTGTCAGTGGGAGGAATAGTGCCCCATCATTAGTGTCAGTGTGGGAGGAATAGTGCCCTATCATTGACACCAATGATGATGAGAGGTGCGGGATGAGAGGTGCAGCTTTCACCACCCCTGTCACTATCTTCTCCTCCTCCGGCGTGGCCAGAGAGGAGAAGGTAGCGAGGTTCACACCTCTCTGCAGAAAGGTGCGAACCTCCTGCAGGGATGTTCCGGGCCACGGCGTCAGACTGACGCCACCCCGGCCCTGTCATCCGCAGCGCGGGCACGGGGAGTTCCCGCACTTGTGGATGTCCCTGGACAAAGGTCGCGGTCACAAGAGCGCAGCCCGTGTCCAGGGGGCGTGCCTCATTGCCAGGCAACAAGGCCCGCCCCCAGTTGCCAGGACGACCGGAGAGCGTCCTGCATCAGTTTTAAGAGGCTGATGCCGAGCTCTCCGGTCAATCTTTCTCCGCTGCGCAGCCATCGAGGGAGCCCAGCTGCGGCGGGACCCTCGTGGCTAACTCTGCCAGAAGCCCCAAGGATATGGGGGGAGACCGCACCAGCTAGCCTGCCTGAGACCCCCAGCCAAAAGGGGGAGACCTCACAAGCCAGCCTGCCTGAGACCCCCCCAGCCAAAGGGGGGAGGAACATACTGGTTGGCAGCGGTGGGATCAGAACACTAAGGAGATGGCAGACAGCGAAAGACAGCTGATGCTGGACCAGGCCCGGCCCAGCGAATACAGAAAGTGGACCATATCGTGTCAGCAGTGGAGGAAGAGATGGCCCTCCTGGGGCTAGACCAGGGGTGGGCAAACTTTTTGACTTGAGGGCCGCAATGGGTTCATATATTGGACCCGGGGGCCGGACCAAGAGTAGATGAATGATGTGTATGTGTCATCCATAGTAAGTATAGTAATATTCCCCCATAGTAATTAATCCCCCATATAGTAATTCATCCCCCATAGTAATTCATCCCCCATATAATAATTCATCCCCCATATAATTCATCCCCCATAGTAATTCATCCCCCATATAGTAATTCATCCCCCATATAGTAATTCATCCCCCATAGTAATTCATCCCCCATATAGTAATTCATCCCCCATATAGTAATTCATCCCCCATAGTAATTCATCCCCATATAGTAATTCATCCCCCATATAGTAATTCATCCCCCATAGTAATTCATCCCCCATATAGTAATTCATCCCCCATAGTAATTCATCCCCCATATAGTAATTCATCCCCCATAGTAATTCATCCCCCATATAGTAATTCATCCCCCATAGTAATTCATCCCCCATATAGTAATTCATCCCCCATAGTAATTCATCCCCCATATAGTAATTCATCCCCCATAGTAATTCATCCCCCATATAGTAATTCATCCCCATAGTAATTCATCCCCCATATAGTAATTCATCCCCATATAGTAATTCATCCCCCATAGTAATTCATCCCCCATATAGTAATTCATCCCCCATAGTAATTCATCCCCCATATAGTAATTCATCCCCCATAGTAATTCATCCCCCATATAGTAATTCATCCCCCATATAGTAATTCATCCCCCATAGTAATTCATCCCCCATATAGTAATTCATCCCCCATAGTAATTCATCCCCCATATAGTAAATTCATCCCCCATAGTAATTCATCCCCCATAGTAATTCATCCCCCATATAGTAATTCATCCCCCATATAGTAATTATTCCCCCCTATAGTAATTAATCCCCCCTATAGTAATTCATCCCCCATAGTAATTCATCCTCCATATAGTAATTCATCCCCCCTATAGTAATTCATTCCCCATATTAATTCATCCCCCATATTAAGTCCCCAAGTCCCCCCTGTGTCAATTCACTTACCTTTGCTCCGCGCGTTCCTCTCGCCGTGTTCCCGCGCCGTTCCGGTGTAGCATGAAAATCTGTCTCCTATGAGGATCTGTCCCCCCTCGACGTATCTGCGCATGTGCCAGTTTCAGGCATTAGCAGCCGATCGGCGATCTCCGGCACATGCGCAGATACATCGAGGGGGACAGATCCTCATAGGAGACAGATTTTCATGCTACACCGGTCTTCAGGGCGGACTGTGAGAGGTGCCTAGCTGGAGCCTAGCTCCGCGGGCCGGATTAAAAGGTCCGCCGGGCCGTATACGGCCCACGGGCCGTAGTTTGCCCATTGCTGGGCTAGACGCTACAGTAGAGGACAAGCAAGAGGCTATCCGGTGGGTGCACGAAAGAGAGAGCCAAGGGAGCCACAGTGAGCTAAGCTGTCCTTCCAGCCCCAGGACCGCGGGTTACCCCCCCTCCCCGTGACAGCCGAAAGGACTTTAAACCCTTCGGCAAAGCCACCGGGGATGTGGAGTGGTTCTTTCAGGACTTTGAGCAGCAGTGCCAGCTCATGGAGGTGCCAAGCATAGATTGGATTCAGCACCTCGTGGGTCTGCTAGAAGGGGGTGCAGCTGCAGCCTACCGCACTCTGGATCACTTGGACAGCCGAGATTACGCCCGGGTCAAACAGACTGTGTTGGAGTATTATGCGGTGACCCCGAAGCGCACCGGGTGACCTTCCCTGCCATGCTGAGCCATCCTATAGATTGTATGCACACAAGATGTCACAGTCCTGTCGGTGGTGGCTAGAAGGGGAGCAGGCCCACACCGCGGAAGAAATCATTCAGGCCTTCCTGAAGGAGCAATTCTACAACCAATGCCCGGCGGAGGTGCGTGGATGGGTTAGAGAAAAAGCCCCTACCACCCTTGCGAAGGCCGCTGCCCTGGCCGACGAGATCCTGGCCATCAAGCCCCATTGGAAACGGGCCTCTGAGCCGCCACGGGCCCCGCCCCCCATCCGGCCACTTCCCCATCCTGCACCACCACTGCCAAGGCGGCCCTCCCACCTACGACTGCCAACCCCGCAGGGCCGCCACACAAAGCCCAGTTCACAGGGCCACCCATGGACCACCGCTGCTACGGGTGCAACAAGCCGGGGCACCTCCAAGCCAACTGCCCCACCTCCCGAAGCCATCACTCCAACCGTCCTGTCCACTACCTGGAGCTACACAACGCAGAAGAACCCCTGCCCCACCTCCCAGCGAGTGGACGAACCGGGAGCAGGGGCTGTTGTACCGCCAGGCAGGCGCAAGCCACCCGCGACAGCCCCCTGCTATCTCCAAACAACTGGTGGTGCCTAGACGGTTCAGTTTCCCGCTACTGCCAGATAGCCCATGACATTCCGGTAGCCGGCCACCTGGGTAAGAGGAGAACAGAGCAGCGGCTGACCCAAGCCTTCTACTGGCCAGGCATCTCCCAGGCCATCGCCCACTTCTGTCGACCTGCGACACACCTCCCACTGACACCAATGATGGGAAACTATTCCTCCCACTGATACCAATGATGGGGCACTATTCCTGCCACTGACACCAATGATGGGGCAGTATTCCTCCCACTGACACCAATGATGGGACACTATTCCTCCCACTGCCACCAATGATGGGGCACTATTAATCCCACTGACACCAATGATGGGGCACTATTCCTCCCACTGATACCAATGATGGAGCACTATTCCTCCCACTGACACCAATGATGGGTCACTATTCCTCCCACTGACACCAACGATGGGGCACTATTCCTCCCACTGACACCAACTTTGGGGCACTATTCCTCCCACTGACACCAACGTTGGGGCACTATTCCTCCCACTGACACCAACGTTGGGGCACTATTCCTCCCACTGACACCAACGATGGGACACTATTGCTACCACTGACACCAATGATGGGATACCGATAACACCGATAATGGAATAAAATAAGAGGTGGAGCTCTAATAGGAAAAGGTGGAGCCTAAAGAGGAAGGGTTTAGTTTAAAGATGAAGGGGTGGGTCTTAAGCAGGAAGGAGTAAGATGAATTTAGAAAGGGGGGTGCCCAATTTTAGTTTTCTAGGGCAGCACAAAACCAAAATACACCACTGAGCATGAGTCACTTCTGACAAGTTTTCCTGACACCAAGATTAAAGTGGTGACAGGGGAAGGACCTCCAGCAGAATGACAACCTCAGCTCTGTTTTTGTGAGCTGTGTTGAGGGAGGGGGGTTTGTCTTCCCTCCAATCAGCTTTCAGACCTCTCCTCACTGTGCTCTGCAGTGTGTGATTTCATTTCTCCTCCCCTTTTTTCTGAACGTTCAGATAAGCATTATAAATTCTGGACTTTGAATGGATGTAGAGAAGAGAAGACTGCAGATAAACAGATGCATATTTGTAGAAAGATTTCTTTAATCTCTGTGTATCACCTGAGGCCAGCCACTCCACTGGATCTATGTAAGGATTTACAACTACTTTCAATTTGAATTTAACGCATTGAGCATGGACATTTTTTGGTTAGCTGCGTACACCCATTCATGTCAATAATCAGCCACATGCAGCTCTAAGATATCTTAAAAACGAGTACTTTAGGTACATTTTTTATGCCGAATCTTCCTCTAGTTCTACCATCAACAACCTGTGCTCTGTGCAGAAAATTTGCATATGTTATGTAAATGAGCCCTAACGACTGTACACAGGTATGCATATACACATTTCGGGCTCATTCACACTGGCACTGTCCTCCACGCTGAGCTGCTTACACGTTTTAATACTTTTTTTAGATTACGTGCACATGCATAACATCCACAGATATGTATGGTCCCAATGCAGCTGCGTTCTACTTTTTTTTTGTATGCCGCTAAATGCAATTCACATTTTCGTTTGAAAACTCAGCTGTGTGCATGACCCCCTCCATTTCTATATTGCCGCATTTAGATGCGTACAAAACTATATGCTGTATGCATCTAAACGGCATCTTTTAGAAGCCCATATGAATGAAACCTTTTACAGTCCATGATGCCTCCAGGATGGAATTTGCTGCTCTTCATTGTGCAGCTGATAGTATAAATGTACCCATGTTGTTTATTGCTTTGTGGTCTGTTTCTTGACACATTGTTATTAAGAGCAATTTCCATCTATTTATTTTCTGCCTTGTAAAAGCTCTGCAGTGGAAATGTTAATCATGTTATATATAAATAGAAATGTTAGTAACTCACCACATTGAGAACTTTTTTTTTTTCCTCATGTTCAGCACCTAGCATGCAGTAGCAGATCTGTTTCCATAATTCTGGCCAACCTTTCCTTTCTATGAGGATAATAAATGAAGTTGAAGGACTCCCCGGTCTCAAGGATTGGACCTCAGAGCTGTGACCACTTTCTACTTCTACAAAGACTGAATACTTTGCACATTTCAGCTGCTCACAGAGACAAGGGGACACCAGGGACTGGACAGCTCACCAGACCTGAGCCGAGTCAATAGGAGATGGCACACTCAGTCCAGGGAGTGGGATGGAGGATTGATTGCTGAGGACCATCTCCACTGCCAGGAACTTTACAAGTCATTATGGCTCAGGCGGGTTCTTGTTAAAGGTCCCTATTGATGAAATGTCAATGGCCATGCCTGGAATATACAGGTCTGTAGCCACCTATATCCCAACACTTGAAGGATCTGTTCAAATCCAGAAGGACCAATTCATCATCAGGACAGGCCGCCCTCCCCCCTGACTCTCCCCCAGCCAGAGCTGGTTATATTCACAGCAAGCAAAGGGGATGTCACCAAATTGGGTGGTTTGTGTGCAAAGTGAAGGTTTTTCAGGACCAGCCTTCAAATCTTGGCCAGTCTATAAAGTCTGAGGGTGGCCATACACACACTTATTTATTTATTTCAGGTACTTATATAGCGTCGTCCATTTACGCAGCGCTTTACACATATATATTGTACATTCACATCAGTCCCTAACCCTCAAGGGGCATACAATCTAAGGTCCCTAACTCACATTCATACATACAGGAGCCAGTTAACCTACCAGCATGTCTTTGGAGTGTGGGAGGAAACCAGAGTAGGTGGTGCCATGGTTGGGATTCGAACTGATGACCCTAGTACTGCCAAGTGCTAACCATTTAGCCACTGTGCTGCCCTCACTTAGATTTTTTTTTTAGCCAAATAATGTGCAATTCGATCACAGCAATTGAATCTGCAAATGATCAAAATGATAGAACTTCCATTCTGATCCATTTAGACTCAATTTAGATCAGATTCGATCAAACTGAGTCAATTGGCAAGGGCAGAAAAATATCAAGCGTCTTGCATCGATTGACAGCACCAAGATACTTTGATACATTATGAGATTACACAGTGGAATCAAAGACAGGACTGATAATGTACAATTGTGACTTAACTATCTATCGCGCAGGGCCGTGGATAAGGGGGTACCACCAGTCCTCCTGTATGGGGCCCAGGCCAGCAGGGGGACCCATGCAGCTGGGTGTGAATCAGATGTGGGCAGGGAGGGTGAGCGGCACGGCGGGTGGAACCGATCCCCTGTATGGCTCTCTCTGTAGCAGCTGAAAGCTGCCCTTCTTCTCCTCTCCCCTTCTGTTGACTTTCAGCTGCTGCAGAAAGAGCCATACGGGGATCTGTTCCAATAATCACCCTCCCGCCACACCCATCACCCTCCCTGTGCACCATACATTTCCCTCGACTGCCCAGACCCCCCTGTGTGTCCCCACCCCCACAGTGCTGCCATCTTCTCTCCTCTCCTTCCCACCAGCAGCTGCAAGCACGCAGTAGGATCCTTCAGGATGGAGAGTGAGGGAAGGGGCCGTTGCATGTTATATTTACCAGTCCTTTTCTTTCCCGAATAAACACAGTGAGTGATCCCTACTGATCACTCACTGTGTTCGTTCATGACTGAAACCTTGCAACCTTTTTTTTTTGGGGGGGGGGGGCTGTCAGGTTGGCTGTATGGAGCCCTGTGGTTTCTAACAGCAGCCCTGATCTATTGATATGCACTTCCCTGTGTGTGGCTTATCAATAGAACAGGATGTGGCCTATAGAGATTGGTCAGAAAAGAAATCCATCATTCATCAAAGATTTTATGGCCGCCCGGGCATGCTTTGATTTTATTATCCAATCAAAGTGATCGAATCTGCGAACAACTTCCGTTCCCATCCATTAAGACTTGATTTAGATTCAGATTCAATCAAACTGATTCGATCGGCCAGAGCAGAAAAATATCAAGCATCTTGCATTGATTGATAGCACCAAGATATTTTGGTCATGAATATGATTGTATTTCAGTCGGTCAGATTATGAGGTTACACAGTGGAAACAAAGACGCGATTGACAACGTACAATTGTACCTTAACTATCTATCGATATCCACTTCCCCGTGTGTGGCTTATCAATAGAACAGGATGTCGACTACAGAGATTGGTCAGAAAATAAAATCCATCGTTCATCAAAGATTTTATGGCCACCCGGGCATGCTTTGATTTTATTATTTAATCAATGTGATCGAATCTGTGAACAACTTCCTTTCCCATCCATTAAGAATAAGTTTATAGTGGATTCAATCAAACTGAGTCGATCGGCCAGGGCAGAAAAGTATCAAGCATCTGGCATAGAGTGACAGCACCAAGATACTTTGTTAATGAATACGACTGTATTTCAATTAATCAGATTATGAGATTACACAGCAGAAACAATGAAGTGACTGATAACTTTCAATTGTACCTTAAACTGGTTGTAAACCTTTCCATATACCAAGTGAAGTGACTGGCCTCAAGTGATACGCATAGATGAAAACAAATCCTTCTATGTACGTTGAACCTTATTATCTGCAGTCTACAGTACTCTACATCCATTCAAAGTCCAGAAATAATAAGTTTGTCTGAGCTGTCAAACAAAAAGGGGGCGGAGAGCTAAGGTTACACTCTGCAGAGCTCAGTGGGGAGAGCTCTGAGAGCTGATTGGGGAAGAGACACACCGCCCTCCACACAGCACACCAGAACAGAGCAGAGGCTGTCAATATGCTGGAGGTCCCTCCCCTGTCACCATTCTTCTCTTGGTGTCAGGAAAACTTGCCAGAATGAATCGGCAGACAGAAATGACACTTAGTTCTCTTAATTGAGACAAGTACACACTATACAGGGATATGCTTTGTTCATATTTTATGTCTGAGGTTTACATCCACTTTAACTAGCTATCGAAACCCACTTCCCCGTGTGTGACATATTAATAGAACAGAATATCGACTACAGATATTGATCAGAAAAGAAATCCATTGTTCATTGAAGCTTGTATGACCACCCAGGCATGCTTCAATTTTATTATCCAATCAAAGTGATTGAATCTGTAAACAATCGCATAGACAGAACTTCCCTTTCCATTCATTTGCCCCTCCCCCCCTTCCCGGTCACACCAATCCGACTTTGACATCGTGCGACTTCCAGTGAAGTCGCACAATTTCAAAGCCAGATATCATTCTGATTTGAAGTGCGACTTGCAAGACATCTGCCTAGATAGATGTCTATGGAAGCCGCAATTGCAGTAGTGCATGCACTACTTTAGAAATCAGTGCGGCTCTGACCAAGTCGGAATCGCAGCAATATGACTGCTTTAATTGCGGACAATAGGGTGCGACTATGCCATGCGATTTGCAACT